AGAGAGAAGGAGGGAGAGGGTGAGAGGGAAAAGAGAGAAATTAGAGACAGAGAAGAGAAGGGAGAGAGAGAGAGGGAGGAGGAAGAATAGATCTTAAGATAGATAGATAGAGATTTAGAGGACAGAGATAGAGACAGATATGGAGAGATAAAGAGATTCTGAGTGTCTATAAAGACAAACAGAAAACCATCCAAAGAAAAAGAATTAAAATTTAAAAATAATGCAGGTACGAAAAAAAGTCCACATTAGACCCTAAATTTAGGCCCCAAACACTGTTTCGTATCTTGTCATCAAAAAAAGTTCATAAGTTCTCTGTTTTTGGTGTTTATGTTTTTCCTTATTTCCATTGGCAGAATATTTTCCTATTCATGCATTGTCACTTTACTTTCTTATTATTGTTTGATAGTGTAATATGATATTAACAGTAAGAAGTATAACTGATAGTGATTTAAGGTAACGATTAAAGCAAATAAGTTCATAATAATGTAAAAAAATATGATGATACATACTTTAAAATAATGATGATTGATAATTGATAATGAAAACATTATAACAATAATATAATAAAAATGATTAGTGATAATAAGGACCAATAATAACAATAATGATAAAAATAACAATGTAACAGTAACAATGATTTTTTAATCAACGATTTTCATCATTATCATTATCCTCATCATATGAAGAGGAAGAACAACAAAATTAACGATGATAACATTTTTTTTTCACCTTTGTTGACTATATGGCAAACAGGATTTAGAAGAAGAGATATAAAATAGAATAGAATGATAATAATAATAGACATGGACAGCAACAAAGATCGAGTTCACTTCACCTCTGCACTTCCTTGTAAACCGAGAAGGAGCCATCGGGGTCGTGGCTCCTTCCGCTTCCCCAAAAAAGAAAAGGAAAATAGCTATTGATGAGAGAGATAGAGAGAGAGGGGAAGGGAGGGAAAGGAAGGGAGAGAGAGAGGGGGGGAGAAGAGAAAGGGAGGGAAAGGGAGAGAGAGGAGAGAGGAGGAAAGGGAGGGAGAAGAGACAGGAGGGAGGGGGGAGTTGGGAGAGGGGCGGGAGAGAGAGAGAGAGAGAGAGAGAGAGAGAGAGAGAGAGAGAGAGAGAGAGAGAGAGAGAGAGAGAGAGAGAGAAAGAGAAAGATCCAGATCAAGAGATATCAAAGAAAAAGAGAAAGAAAGAGTGATGCGGATAAAGAAGACACCGAAGAGACCAAGAAACATCGACCGGAGAGGAAAACCCGGACTTCGAAGAAAGAGGAAAAACCGAACTCTTCTGTTGACAATGAAAAGAGAGCGAAGGCGACCTTGCCTCCCGCTCCACCGCCAGCCGCCTCCGAGGTATAAATAGCCAGGGCGGCGGACTCGCAGCACCATTCTCCTCTCGAGGCTCATCCAAGACAGAAGCATCTCTCAAGGTAGAAAAAGGACGTTTATTTATTTATTTATTTTTTTAAGGTTCTGGTTTATTTGAGGGATCTGAGATTCAGGTTTGAGAGTTTTAATTGTTATTGTCTGTGTGTTCTTATTTTGGGTAATTTTTTAGTTTTTATTATTATTCAATACCAAGTTTTGAAGTGTGTTTTTTCTCTCTCAATTTTGATATCACAAATTCGTTATTTTTTAATTGAAAGCCGAGGATAACAAGATCCTAAAATATGAAATTGATAGATAAAAGGACATTTAAAATGGTTATTTATGTCTTTTTATGTCTAATGTACAAATATGCTAGGCAGAAAGGGGATAAGGTGTGGCTTATTCATTTCTTTATTGTATAATTAAAATTAAAGTAAACGAAAAAAATCCAATTTTTTCCACATTCCCTCATTTATTTCCCCCACACTCCTCCACTTATTTCCCACACACCTCCAAATTTTCCCACGCTCCTTCATCTTTTCCCACACTCCTCCACAGACGCGATGGCACGTACCGTATTGGCAGTCCTGGTTGTGGTGTTGGCAGCAGTGGTGGCAGAACCCAGCTACCCTGCTCCTTGCCCACCCAAGCTCCAGTACGTGACCAAGTACCAAACCCAGTACCAGGAGGTAAGTATTGGTGTCTTTTGGGTAGTTTGAATGTAAAATCGAGGCTGAATTGGAATTGTGGAAATGTAAAGTGGTTCTGAAGTAAAAGGGGTATAAAAGTCTGGCAATTCTCGCAATCACGAAAATCATTATTATTTTCATTTTCCGGTGATATCCATTCTTAAGATGTTTCCCTCGTACCGCAGGTCCCAGTCTACCAGACCCAGTACCAGACCCAGGTCGTGCCCACCACCCGCTACGTGACCCAGACCCAAGTCCAGTACCAGACCCAGTACCAGACCGAGTACGTGCCCAAGTATGTCACCCAGACCGCCTACAAGACCAGGTCCAGTACGTCACCCAGACCCAAGTCCAGTACCAGACCAGTACCAGACCCAGTACACCAAGTCCGAGTACGTGCCCAAGTACGTCACCCAAACCCAGTACCAGACCCAGTACGTCACCCAGACTCAGTACCAGACCCAGTACACCACCCAGTATGCTCCCCAGTACGTCACCGAGACCCAGGTTCAGTACCAGACCAGGTACACCACCCAGTATGCTCCCCAGTACGTCACCGTCACCCAGCAGTCCTACAAGACCGTGTGTCCCAAGCCAGCCTACGGCTATTAAGCTCGACGTCGATGTAAAGCGCCTGTAAAGTTATATATTAAAGAGAGTTTTATTAAGGTGTGTCTTGACTAACCCAGGATAACAAAAGCAGTGTCGACAGAATTGCCGTAATGATATATATATATATATATATATATATATATACTATTTTATTATATATATATATATATATGGCACACACACACACACACGTATGATATAGATAGATGTTGTTTAATACATATATATATATATACACTAGATGTGTATGTATGATATATATATATTATCATATATATATATAATATATAATTATATATGTGTGTGTGTGTGTGTGTGTGTGTGTGTGTGTGTGTGTGTTGTGTGTGTGTGCTGTGTTGTAGCGTGGTTGTGTGTGCGGCTTCTTATCTGCATGGTGTGTGTGTGTGTGTTGTGTGTGTGTGTGTGTGTGTATTCTCCATATATATATAATTACATTATATATATATATATATATAGTAATATATATATATATATATTGTTTGTGTGTGTGTGTGTGTGTGGGTTGATGTGTGTGTGTCCATGTGTGGTGTGTGTTGTTTTGTATTCAAAATATATATATATATCTATATATATATATATACATATTATATACAATATATATATACATATTATATATATATAATATTATATATATATTTATATATGTATATATTATGATATACATTCATTCTACAACACACACCACACACACACACACACACACACACACACACAACAATATATATATACTATATTATATATAATATATATATATTATATGTGTGTGTGTGTGTGTGTGTGTTGTCAGTGTGTGTGTGTGGTGTGTGATGTGTGTGTGTGTGTTGTGTGTGTATGTGCACATACGAGCAAATGTGTTTGTGTGTGCACGTATAAAAATCTCTCTCTTTGTAAGATACAGTGTGCAGTGTGATGCAATGCGGATGACGCGGCCTGTAACACGGAAAGTGTATAAATAGACTAAAGAAAAGTGAAGAATGAAAACAGACGAACAAAAGATATTCTGTTTTCTTTTTGTGCTTTCGTATAAGGGGAATGGCAGGGATGAAGAAATACTCATTCTAGATAGCACTTGTATTGGATTAACTTATTTGCGTTAATTAACAATAAAAGGTATGGAATGATAAGAGACTCGGATGTAATAGAATGTAACAAGCTAATTTATTTCTTTTTTATGCGTGCAAAAATCGGATTCTTCTCTGCTCTGGATCATTATCTATGCAAATCGCCATGCCCACTATCCGCACACCAACTGCTTGGGGAGTTGTGCGAATTACGTTTTTCGTGGTTCACACCGCTTCGTCTGCTCAAAAGCTTCGAAGCCAGTGAAAAGTGTTGTCTAGAAGAAAGAAGTGTTTCGCTCTACAACAGAAAGATCCCGAATCACTTTACCTGCGGAGTAAGGTGCTGATTCCTGATACTGAAAAGAGTACATGCGAATGTTTGTAATCTGTCAGTATTCGTCACTTGTATATTATAAGTTAACAGGACGCCAGACTTCACGCAACCATGGGTGGTATCGAAATCCATATATTTGTTTGTATATAAATAAATAAATAGATAAATTATATAATAATATATAATATATATATATATATATATATATATATATATATATGTATATGTATATACTGTGTGTGTGTGTGTGTGTGTGTGTGTGTGTGTGTGTGTGTGTGTGTGTGTGTGTGTGTGTGTGTGTGTGTGTGTGTGCATAGCATAGCCTAGTTATGAAATTATAGCATAATTATGGAAAATGGTTATTATTATCATTACCATTATATCCATCCTATTGTTATTTTTGCAAGAGAGACAACACAAACACAATAATAATGATAATAATAATAATAATAGCAGCGAGTCTACTAATATGTTACCAAGCAGTGAACACAGGAAATCATAAGCCAGGAAATCTGAGAAAGAGGATTTTATTGCACTGCAGATTTTTTTCCCAAGCATCATATAGAACAAAAATGTATTTTTTCAAGTTCATCTATGCAGTAGACATGACTTAGGTTGTTGTAAGGAGGTCCAGGGTCATATGGTTTCAGCGAGGAAATGTATGTATTTTTATTTAAATTAAATGTATGTATTTTTATTTAAATGTATGGGTGAGTGAATGTATGTACTTGTGGTATGTGTGTATGGATGAGTGTATATGTAGTACTGTATGTGCGTATGCATGTATGTATGTTCACTATGTGAATGCATATATGTATGTGTGCATTGTAAAACAGAATCATATTGCCTTTATACCAATGCAGAATGGAGATACAATTACATGGTATTTGTCCATGAAATATTAATGGTTTGTG